CATAGTTCAAATGTGTGCATTTCGAATATGAATGTGGACTATGTGGGCGGAATTACAAGTTTTTTAATTAAATATAATAGAACATGCCGATAGAATTGTTATTGTCAATTGTCCTTGCCTAAATAAGAGATTATTTTTTATTAAATTTACAACATCGAAAAATAGGAATTTTAATTTTGTTTGACTAAACAAACACCCTCTGATTAGTTATGCAAATCCCATTGCTCCAGCAACTCTTGGACCCTACTAGAACTCTGTCCTGTTGAAATTGAGTGCCTCAAGACTGGGACTGCATGTTTGAGCTAATTCCATATAGCCAAAAAGTAAACGAAAAGCTTAAATTTAACAAACAAACCCAGAAAAAACTTGAGAAAAACAATTTTATCAAGTTAGCATTAAAGTGGGCGTGGCCGGCTGTCAGTAAGCAGGCAAAAATATACTGTATATACTCTGCACATCAACTTCAACCGAGCCTCAGCTTAAAGCAGCACACGCACACAGGCCGTGTCTCTGCGTTAGTGTACGTGTGTGTTTATTTTACACCTCAAGGGTGCTGAAATATGGCAACAAAAAACATCGCAAGCAGCAAGCAGCATGCACCCAACGCCCGCTCACACACTCATTCCCAGCCCCGACGCCTGACTGACAGGCAGCGTGCAAATTTCAACAGAGCAACTTGAACGTGTTGCTGCGGGCCATTCGTGCTTGAAAAGTTTTCTAAACATAACTGCAAGATCTGAGCTGTTTTTCTGTCCTCCATACTTTTTTCTGCACCCATGCACACAATGCAATTTCTCTTGGCTTCACATTGTTGTTTGTGTGAATGTTTTTCTTATCATCATCATCATGGCCAAGGGAGCCTGAGCATGTACTCATCAGCTGTTGTCGTCCAAACTTTCGAGTCCCTTCAAAACAATACACATTTTACTTCTTTTTATATTTTAGCTAAAAAAAAATCGCGTTTTTGTTGGCAATCACAATAAATTAAAATATTATAAATTAAAATATTCACAAAAGATTTAATCCTTTTATAAGAATTGAATCAATATAAAAATTATTTGATTTGACATTTTAAGTATATAAAGGGCATTAAGCACATGGCATACCAAAAATAAAAACTTAAATTTTTTCTTTATTATCCCAGCTTAAGTTAAATGCCAAATATCGTATAAGGTTGCACAATCAATCTACAGCAAAGCTTGTATTAAACTTCGAACATAAGCATTATAATAAAATCTTAGACTTCATTGGCCAGTTATTAATCAAGAATATGTTCGGATCATAGTTTTCTGCTCATATATTAACATTCTATCAACGATTTAAGTTAGTATTTTCATAAGCACACGACCGACACTTTTCTGACAGCTTGTAAAAAGTTGGACTACTTGTTGTCTGCAAATATAAATAACTTCTATAATTGAGAGCATTTGATTATTGCGACCAAAGTGTGTCACGTCATATAACTTTGTCCTTCGTGTAAGACAATTCATAAACGTAAGCCTCAAAACATAATACAAATAGGAATAAGGACAATAACAACAACATCAATGACGGAAAATGAATCACCTACGTGCAGTGACTTTGTGAAAACAACAACTAATAAAAAAAATGCCTGTTTATTATTGTGTAAAACGACAAAGCAAATATTTTGTACGACCCTGACAAATCAGTTTCTCTATTTATATAATGAGCATCGGCAAAAACCAACAAATTGTGACCCAAATGAAAAATTAAACGTGAGTGTGGCTCAATACATTGAGCGTCGATTGATTGCGCGCCGGCGGGGAGGCAGGATTCAAGTTCCATAGTGAAATTCCATCGGGTGGGGCAGGGGGTAAGGGCGACTCAAAAAATAGAAGCCGTAAAAATTCGTAGCAATTGATTTGGCTGCGAGTCATGATGCCATGCAATACACACACACACACACATATACACAAACAGGCCAAAAATGCCTGTGCTCTCCTAGCTGTCCTCTATATATCTATGTATGTGTATACACCTTCAACACATACATGCACACACATAGTGGCGATGCGCAGGACAAAAAGCGCAAATGCTGCTCGAATTCGTGAGCTTCCTGTTTCGCCAACGACACGGCATTTATAAAAATCATACGCACTGTTGTACCAGCAGCACACGACCATGTCAATATATTCTTATGGGCTGTCAGGAGACGCCGCCCGCACGACTCCCGCATACGTAATGTCAATTTTGACAAAAAGCTGTCGCCTGCTGGTTGTTGCCGTTGTTGCTGTTGTTGATGTTGTTGCTGTTGCTGCTGGGAGCATAAAAACACGACACCAGTTTATTTGTCCGGAGCTGTCATTAGCACACTTAATCCACTTGGTTGCCGTGCGGCGAGGTGAGCAAGATTCGCAAACTAAACAAATCAAAGGAAGGACAGGACAGGGCCATTTTGACTTGTAGTCTACGGCATATGAGCGATTGGTCCTAATTGAAGGTGACACAAGAAATCTCTTAGCAACTAGAAATGGGCGAAAAAAAACTTGCGCTGAACAAATTACTTTTTAGTCCGCCTAGCCGCAAGCACAATGTAAGAGTAAACTGCAATTAATTGAAAAACACAAGATGATAGATTTGGTTAGCAATTTGTATCTGCAAGCTCGCATCCTTCTCAAAATTTAACATTAAGATCCAATTTATATGCCATTTTACGCAGAGCAGCCAGTCGATTGCAAGTCGGTCGTCGTGTCTGAGCAAAAAGCACTGCACACAATGAAAAACATCTTGGAAAGCATTCCACAGATCCACAGTTGGCCGGAGTCGAAGAATTTGTGGCTGCGAAACTAAATTGAAAACGCAAATGAAGGGAATGAAGCTATAGCTGATGAACGAGCAACACTTAATCAAAGGCTGGCGAAAAGGCCACATGTGAAATTCCGTAAAAATATACTTATTATACAATAGATTAATTTAAATAATTTTAATCAAACAGGAATCCGGAAAACTCTCGAAGAATAGGAAACAGATAAATTGCATAATGGAAGAAATATTTCACAACAAAAGCAAACATGTGCATCTTTATATAGTAGTTTATCTTAGCCCAGTTCTTTCAACTAAGGCATAATGCCTCAGATATACTCAGTACTTAAATCAATATTTATTTAGGCACATACACAAAACAATTAAGAGCAAAGATGCGATAGAAATGATGAGGGTGAGACCGTAAGCGTAAGTTGGAAAGAGAAGGATAATAAGGGATAGAGATTTCTCTCTAGGAAAATAGGGAATATAGAAATTTATTGAGAAAGGCTGAGATTAGTGAACATGGAGATAGAATAAAAAAGCAGAAGAGGTTAAAAGACTAATATAATAAAATGAAGTCAAATGGCAGAGGCAGCTTTTTGTTTTAAAAGAAATCTAATGGCACTTACATTTATGAAAATCGCATAGAACGGCGACTACCACTTAAGAAGAGAGCAGGCGCACAAAAGTTATTTTCCAAAAATAATGAAAGCTAATGCAATAAGTAAATCGTCGATTAAGACAACATAGAATTTTGTAATGCTTTATCAATATCGTTACAAAGGAAAACACCTTTTTCTAAGGTGCAGAAAAAAAACAGAGTAAACGTCGCTTGCTGCTGTTATAATACGATTATAAAGAGTATGCTTGAAATGAAGAAATACTTCAAATGAAGAATTTGCCATATTTAAGAGCAAAGTAGGAAAACAACAGAAAAGTTTGCCCCAGTTACTCGGGTAACATCTTTGCAGAGTCTGATACCGTGCTTTGCGCACATGTACCATATTACACGCACAAATTGCTGAAGCGGTGAGAGTTTGACAGCTCAACTGAAAATGACAATTGTCTAGGCGTGTGTGCGTGTGTGGGTGGTGGGGGTGGGGCATGGAACGTGCGACACAAGGTACACGGCATTAAATTGGCCAATTTGAAAGTGGAGATACTCACCGTAGACAAGAAAATAGGTAAAAGTCACGCCCACACAGATGCGAGCACGCTTTGACTAAGCTGGCCAAGGAGTACGTCTAGCTGAGCAGGGGCGGGCATCTGGTTGGGTCCATCCCTCGTAACCGGAAAAAGCAACAACAAAAATAAAAAATTAAAAACAAAAAAATCGGCAGTTGAACTGTCAATCAGCGGCAACAAAACAAGCCAACAAACAGCTAACTAATTGGTTGAAATTCAGAACTGAAAAGTCGGCGCGACGCCAAAGCAAAAAGTTGAAAGATAACCAAAAATTGGCGCTGCCAAAAAGTTTTACGCTTATTACACCAGAACCGTTGCGAAACCCAAAGAATGAAACGAAAATCCGAAGCTATAAGAAAGAAAAAATTGGCATCATGATTCATTAGCAAAACACGCCAAGTGCGTAACTTTTGAGGCAAGTCTATTGCACGGACACCGACTGTTGCCTTTGCTAATTTAAATTCCTTTGACGCCGCAGCTGACGCCGTCGCCGACGCTGTCTTATTAGGCATAGACGGGCTTGACGGCTTCTTAAGCGCCTGAATGATTGACATCAAAAAGGTTTCATTGTAATTTTCCAGACTCAGCCACAAAAACAGCAACAGATAATTAAATATATATTCTTGTTTAATGGATATAATTAAAAATGTGCATCATTAGCACAGATTTACGCTGATTTTTTACATTTTCTTGTATCTCAAGCCGTAGTCTTGCCTTCTGCAGCAATGATTTCTGTTTGCTTGGGCAAAATTGCATGATTGCGCAGTTTGTAGGATATTATTAGGAAATATGAAAGCCAAGTTAAAATCCAGTCTGTATATTATTTAAATTTTACGTAAGTGCCCAAGTTTGACATTTCTTGCTCAAATTTTCCATCACAATTAAAGCAACATCGTAGTGCTAGGGAAATATTTGGGTTTCCGCATAGATAAATGAAAATAAGTACATAAGACGCTTACGAACTCATTTGCAGGTTGTCAGAGCGACAGCCCATAGAAATCAAATATTTTTAAGACACATTTTAAAGTATTTGTTTGACCCGGCTTAAACAGACTCTCAACAGTTTTAAAGAAATCTGAAGTCAAATGAGACGATATTCTGTGCCGTCTTTGCCATTGTCAGCCAGAGCTCTGTGACAACCATCTCAAGCGACAGCGTCAGCTACGCAACAAATCTCACTAAATGCTGTGACAAAAGTAAATGAAATTGCACTAAATCTACAGGGAATTTTCTTCAAAAATGTTCAACCTTTGCCTGAGCCCGAGCTGTGCCTGAAATTGGCTTAGGATTGTGCACAGCATCTATGCGTCTCTTTCGTACGTACGCCTTCTGGCGCCCTGTAATCAAAAAAGGTACGAACAGGCCTAGGCCAAAGTGATAAACCGTTTCCACTGACATCGCATATAAATCTGCGACAAAGTTGCGTCTGCCAGACCCATGGACAGCTCCAAATCGTGCCGGATTTGTCACGCCGAATTGTTGAAAATGGCGTGCGTTGTTTATTCGCTCTATCCCCCCCCCCCCCTCGTACCTACCCCATCCCCTCCTCCTATATCTCCTTTAGTTTAGCCAGTGAATTTTGCACAAAACACTGGCTGAAGCAAAAACAACAATATCTGAGCAGCTCGTCTCCGGCTGTGCTCGTAAATCTTCGAGTGGCTTATCTATAACAAAACTGTGTGCTTTTTAATTCGCTGCAAAAAATATGCAAAAACAAAAGGCAAAACAAAAAAGAACATACAACAAAGAAAACAATGAAAATCCAGCAAATGTTAATGTTTATTTAAAATTAGGCACATGTTTAGCCTGCTGAAGCTGCTGTGAGCGCATTATGAATGCGAATATTATTTATAGAGGCAACAAATGTTGGCAAGACTTAAAAGATGATTGTCGAAATTAGGCTAAGAAACTGTCAGTGCAGTGAAGAGCAGGAGGATTTTTGCTGAAAAATTGCTGACAGCATTTTTTTTTTATATCTTATAATAGGATATCATAAGCTTGTTTATGAATATGAGCTTAATAAAATTTAAATTTTAAGCAATTTGTAACTAAAGCCTTAAAAGTATTTCATAAAATAGCTGCTATTAAAATAAATAATTTAAATAAATATATTTTTTTGAAATACAAAAGCTGCTACAGTCACATATAATATTATATATATAATAATATAAATGTATACAAAATGTGCTTATCGAAATTTAACGTCCCTTTTAGTGGGTCATTTATCATAAAGCCCAGACGCGCCAACACAATGCCACTGATTGGAACAAAGCGGAGTTGAGAGCTTATATACATGCATATCTGCGACTTGATAAACGAGATGTCACATAAAACATTTTGGCTTATTACAAAATAAGCGGCCTATATAATGGCCTGCATTAACACATTAGCCAGCAGGCGGAGTGTGGGACGGGGGTGGGGGGCCTACTAAACTCAAATTACTTTAGTTTGTAATTAAAAAAGATGATTAGCATAAAAGCAATTGTAAAATATATAATATATACGTATATATGAAATTAAACAAACGCAGAGTAATTTGATGAATTTGATTAGATTTTGACGCGATAAATAATTGCATGCAAATTTATTTAAATGCATATTTGCCCACGTAATTGCTGCAAATTTACGTTTCATTTAGCAGCACCAAAAAAAAAGTAAAATATAAAAGAAAAAAAAAGGACAGCAGGACACAGCCAAGCAAATGGCCAAGTGGCGGCAATGAAAAAGCAGCAAACAGATTATAACTCCCAGCTGACATTGTGGGCTTTATTATTTGGCCATTGAAAAATGCGACGCTGGCTGGGCTCCGCGACCCAAGTGGATTTTAATTTTTCAAAGTTAACCCACGGCATGGGCGACCCTTTATTATATTTGTTGCTGGTGTCGGCGGGTCGAGTCTGACTGAACTGACCGGGGCCGGACCTAGCCAGGAGGGCGTACTGTGTGGGATTTGGCAGCACTCCATTTTAATGTTTACCTTTCCGAATGTTTGCTGATTGATCCCTTGGGTGGGTCAGCGTTTTGGGCCGGCGTAATTAATTTTGCTTTTTGATTTGGCGCTTGGCAAAAAAAGAGGACCATCAAATTGTCACGTAATTATATTTGTGTTAATGATGTTTCGTGCCAGCCATGAAAAGTCAATTAATATTTTGGAAAATTTAGATTTGACATCAACATCAGCGCCATCAGGCGACGCGTCGGCAAGCGGCAAGCGGCACGCGGGTTCTTTAATTAAAATTTGCTTGGCCGCAATTTTATTGCATGCTGTGATTTTTAATTTTCATTGAAATTGCAGCCGTCTCCCAAAATCTGTTTTATATATATATTTTTTCCCCCATTTGTATTTTGTGTGCTTTTGATAAGTCATTCAACTTGAGTCGGGCACGCGACTTTAAACCTTTGCCAGATGTGGCCGATAAATGCCAAATGATTGCTCCATTAAATTATATGAGCGTAAAGTAGCTATTAGCCGCTGCTTAAGTCGAAAACCAGTTTAGCTTTTTGCCGGTAGCCGTCGAGCGGACCAACCGTAACGGAATCAAAACAATAACAAATACATGGAGCAGTATTGAGGTGTGAAATAGCTACTGAACGTATGCATAAAGTACTCAAACAAATTGCTTGACTTAAGTGCTTACAAAAATACCTAAGGCTTAACTGTCGATTTGTAAGTCATCTTTAAGCCTTTTGCTTACATTGAACATGTTTAAGCTCATCTCTTAAGTATTTATGATAATGTCAATTGTCGATTGTTCGATTGCTAAGTTTCACCGTACGGATTAGTTGCTTCTCTCACATACCGACGCATATGTCAGCGTTTTTAATTGCAAACTATTTCATTTAAGCCGTGAACTATCACTCATACGTCATGTTAAAGGACTTGAGCTCACATTACGTATACGCCATGTTACACGACAATGTTCGCATTGTATGTGAATGTGACGCTGCTCTGTCTGCCTGTTGCGCTCATTATGTACGTGCTGGAGCTGCCAGTGCTGCCATGATAGCTCAGATGGTGCATATTCAAGTCATGGCTTGAATCGTGCATACTCGATCTCTGAAGGTGCGTGCATCAGTATGAATTACTATTAATGGTGTGCAGAATAAATTGAATTTCATTGCATGACGACGTCAATTAAAAACATGTAAAACTCAATCGCCAATGACGTTTTTAAAATGCAGTCCAGCCATCAACGACATGGCAGACGCCCGCGTGCACACCGGCGGCTGTGCAAGAAGAGGAGGCGCCACTTAATGAGTCGGCAAATGGCTGATAAAAATGCAGAGGGAATATGAAAAACGTTGAATGCCAGCCAGCCATTGAGTTGCTGTTGTCGCTGACATCGGTACGTGGCTCGCAAAGTTCCCGAAACTGGCAGGAAACATTGATAAAAGTGGCAATAATGATTCGATTCGATTCGATTCGATTCGGCCGGCTTAATGACCAGCCATTAAATGAATCACGCCGTGAGCTCTTTTAAATGATTGAATACACAGCATTTAATAATAGTCAATGGAAAAGTTTTTTAATCAAACTTGCTTGCCCAATTTTTAAATGAAATTACAACTTTCAAAGAAATGAAGAATAAAATATAAAACACAATGAAATAGTTTTGCATTTTTTCAGTATGTTGCAAAATACTTGCGGTGGTACTTATTCGCTTAAGAGAAAAAGCCCATTAACAATTATGACTTTCCTTTTGCCGTCAAAGTAGTTGAAACTTAAAAGCAAAGCTCACTAGCCTTGAATCGGGCGCGGGAATTTGTTCAAGACCACCAACAGTTTGTATGGCTGCACTGTTTCCATGTACTATACTATAAGGAAGAAGACGGCTTGGCTTTGCCTCATTTCCAGTTTTTACTTTTGAAGTTTTTAATTCTTTGAATCTTAATGACTTCTCGTAATAAGTTTTCATTTCTCGTAATTTCTTAGGTTAATAGAATCTTTCCAGCTTGCTGCTGCAGCTGCCGTGTCGAGTAACAATAAATGAAATGACAGTGGGCAAAGCCCAGCACTTAGAGAAAACTGTAATGAAATTTCAAAATCAAGAACGTTTAATTAGAATACGAAACTACGCTGTTCCGTTAACACTTTAAATAGATTGAAGTCAATCGCTTCAAATATTTTCGCCTGTCAGACTGTCGGCCTATGGTCGATCCCACTGTAAGTACACTGCTCATTGAAACTTTTGTGCTGGCAACAAAAAAAATAAGAAATGAAGAAAACCATTATTATGAAGTTGACACAAAGTCAGTCAGCAGCAGCAGTAGCTGCCAGGAAAAACGCAGACGATAATAATGACAACGACGACGATGTTGAGTCCTTGCGCCTGCCTGGAATTCCCAGCTATGAATGCTATTCAAAGGGAAGCGCTAGAAATGCATAAAAGTCGACTACATAAAACGCAGCAGGACCTCAGTTGACATTTATGCGAACCGCACGCTCTGGCTTTAAGTTACAAAACGGCCAAGTGGAAAAAGAAAATAAGCCGACTCGAAAGCAATGCAACTGTGAGCCCCGTTAAATACTTCGGAAGGCCAGCTAAGCCCACATCATCATCATCCTTGGCTGCGGCTAATCATAAATTCAAAAGCGGCAAAAGTGCAACGCAGTAACAATTAACTTATTAAATGGGCTTTGGGGCCAAAACAAAGGCCAAGCGGGCAAAGGAAACGACAGCGCAAAGGAAGTGCTCATGAAAATTGTGAAAATGAAAGCGACCGGGGCGTCAAGATGGCCAACAAGAACTGAAGTACAGTAAACGGAAAGCAGAGCAAGACCAGCTCACCAGTCCACCGACCCCTGCTAGTTTTTCACATGCGTCCTGCGATGTCTTCGCTTCCATGGTTGCTCCGCTGCCACGTGGCGTAATTCATTTAACTGCGGCATCTTCAAAGTGCTTGTGCTTGCTTGCTGCTACCCTAAGCTCCTGTAACGCACCCTTGATTGCCAACGACATTTGCTAATTAGCGAAATTGATTTGGAATTTATGATGCGCAAAATAGTCGGACTCTCTGTGGGTTGTCTATAATTGAAACTTAATGTTTTGCATAGTTCTTTCAATTTACCGACAGCTGTTTACACAACTCAAATCAAACTCATTCTTATTGCTGCATATTACATATTTTTCAACACTTCCTTCCCACTCTTTTTGCAGTTGTTGTGACATTTTGGCAACATAAAACGCAATGGCGCCAAAGATGACGCCATTCTCGCTGCTCGACAAAATGGCGACGACGAGGACGCTCGCATCTTCAGCGGAAGTACACTGGCTCTGCCGATTGCTGCTGCTCGGCGTTTGCATTGGCGCCGCCGCAGCTCGAGGTAAAAATAGATTTTATTCAACATATTTACAATTTATTTATACAAAATATGCCACGTTTATGCTATGAAATTCATAATTACAGCAGTTATTCTTATGAACTTAGTCGTTTTCTACTTCCTTTATGAGATTCGCGCGATCTGGCAACACGAAACTTGTGCATATACATGTTAAGTTGGCTGCGCCGCGCAGTTTAGAAATTTAGGCCTCGTTTTACAAATCTCTTTTGCGAATTCATGAAAAGATTGTGCGAAATGAACATGCCATAAACGTGGGAGGAAATTGATTTGTATAAGCGTACGAGAGTATGCACGGAAAAATATCATAAATATGTGTACATATATATATGCATGGATTTTTTCATTCGTTGGTCAAAAGTGCATGCAAAAATTCATTTGGCAAAGACATCAAAGTGTTACCAGCGGCGTATTGCGCGAAAACTAATTATCTGTCAAAATCATATTGCCAAACAAGTGCACAAGCATTGTCCTTTTTTGTGCATTGTGGCCTGCGGATATACACACATGCGAATATTAATAATTAAAATGTTAAAAGTGGTTGAAAAAATATATCTGTATATATAAATATATATGATACCAACGCTGTGCTTGTATAGTTTATGAGATATTGAAATTGTTGTCGCCTCATTTATTATCAGTTTTGTGCGCTACAAATATTGCAAATTATGCTTTAAATAATAGTTGCAAACGCTTAGGTTGTGCTAGTTTCGCATGAGAAACTCATTATTTAAGGATATGATGCGCTTCATGCACTTATGTGCGGCTGGCCTATATTTTAATTATATTATTGTTTGAATTTCATTATTGTAGCTGAGTGGCAATTCGACTTTGATGGGCATTTTCAGGCTTCGAGCCCATACTCTTGACTACTTTGAAATTTTAATCAACAATGTATCAACATGACATCAATTCAAATCATATTGAACTATGCCATAAATATGCAGCGCGATTAAGCAATTCACTCAATGGACAGTGTTTAAAAAAAAGGACAATAAATTGAAATTGAGTCTGTGCAACAGCGCAGACTGAATCCTGCCAATGAAATATGAGTGACAAAATCACACAGCCAATGTCACTAGGGCTTACATGGCCGTTTCGCTAGCGACAAACTAAATCCTTCGTCTCGACATACAACCGCGACAACCACAGCAACAACAAATGCAGCAAAAACAAGTTCAAGTGTTGAAATCGTGTTAGTTCTACTGTTAAATATCCTGTGTGTGGAATAGCTTAGCCATGGCCAAAAATTATAATTTAAGGAAATGCAGCTTAAATTCTTTTTATAATAAGTCGTGACCTTAAAGGTATTTATCTAGCTAACTTTAAAGTATCAGATGTCGCCAGGCTCATAAGATAGGGTAGGGTAGAGAATTAATGCGATCTATAATAATTATTTGCTCAACCTAATCATACCCATTTGTATCGGTTATAGGGAAGAGGGTATTAAACAACTATGATACATTTATCAAAAACTTATATGTATTTCAAAGGCACTTCATGCATAAACATACCAACATATACATATCAATCGCATACAGTACTCGATGCTTGACCAGCAACAGAGGAAACAAAAATTGCATTGGCGATGCAACAAATGCGGATCACGTGATTGCCATGGATATGCCATGGGATGGCTGCTGCAGACGGCAGACGGCAACTCATGGCAATTTCATAGCCATATTGCGACAATTTTTATTAAAATTTAGAATTTTTCAATTTATTTAGCACTTCTCTCGGGCGCTGTCTGTGACTACGCGCCACGAGTCGACTCGCCTCGACTCTCGCGTTGCTGCTTGCTTTTTGATTTGTTGCAGCTGCGTGAAATTGGTCAGCAAAAAATGGCAATGGACACCGTACGTGATTTGAATTTAGTTTCCCATCTGCCCACAAAAAAAAAAAAAAGAAAGGAAGTCAGCATTTAGTTTGTTATTTAAACGAAAAGCGATTGCCAGCAGCTTAAATGCTGCCTAACCCGCAAGTGGCCAGCAGGAATTTAAATTGAATTAGCCATTTCAGTAATAATATAGCCAACTATCATTGCCCCTTTGCATGTTGCGGAATTCCGATGGGCAAAAGGCACTGCGCTGCCAGAGGATCCAACGTGCAGACAGACAATTCCCAGGGGCAGCCACTCAGGCACAAGGAGCAGCAATACACAGCTGCCCGCCACACCATGCCGGACTCAGTAAAATCAAATCTGCAGTGGCACATGAAACAAGTGAAAGCAAATTAAAAATTGCAAAAACTGCTGAAGCATTTGTTTTGCAGATGGTCCTTCTTGCTGTTGTTGTTGTTGTTGTCGCTGCTGCTAGTTGACTGCCCTCGCACTGATGACTGTCAACACGCTGATAAGTGTTACAGCCGTTGGTTGCCAGCTCCAGGCGGTTGCCGGGACATCCTTGTTTGCCTTTCCGTTCGGTCTGCTGCTCTCGCTGTGCAATCCACTGACCCAGGCAAATGCTAATTTTATTATGACAAATGCGCAAAGTTGAGGCGAGAGTGTCGCATTCCCTTTTCTCATTTTATTGCACTATTTATTCCCTAAAGTCAAGTGAATCAGCAGCTCATTCAATAATCGTTAAGCGCTACCTTTACCGAACTGTTGTGAGCTGTCGTTAATCATTGATGATGCTCACTTCAAGCTGGGATCAGTGCTCGCCACCGTCTTACACATCGTTTTAATCGCTTGAGGCCTGAGCACTAATTTGCAATACACAGGCTTGAGCTTGAATAAACAGGGGCCATAACTTATGCGGCTGACTGTGAGCGGCTAATTGAAAATGATCGCACAGAACGGCAACGATAGGCTTGGGGCAGCTGCATATAGCCGGCTCGCTTAACTTAAGTAGACATTTAGTTGGCATTACAGCAACGCCCACAGAGGGTGCGGCGGTGGGGCACTGCATCCCAAATCCAGCTAACAATCTTGTTGGCACAACTTCAACACCATTGCAACAAGAAATTGTTAAACAAACCGACCGTAAGTCGAGATTGCAACCAGTTGCTCTGCGCCTGCGCAGCTGTCAGCTCTAATCTAAATAAGCGATTTGTCTGCGCATAACTTTTGCCTTAACCGGATCGCAGGCTCCAAGCAGAGTGCGGCATGGACTTAGCCAACCGCTTCGAAGGTGTCTTTGCCGCAGCCTGACTAAATAATAATTTGTATAATTTATTCCATGGAACTCTAGGCGGCAGTTCAGGAATTTACAGCGTGATAGCTTCTTATGGCCAGCTGCCTGGTATTCCAGCGTCGCACTTCAACGGATACTCTTATAAATAATTAACACGTGCATAGTTGCTCCTTGAAGTGGACAGAGTTAGCATTGCAATTTGAAGCTTCTTTTTGTTTGTTTTTCCTTTCTTGACTTTTTGATGGTAGGTAAATTACGCAGCTTCCGACAGACATTTGAATTCGTTCGCAGCAACAGCTGCTAGAGATACATATTTCTATTGTCTACCTTTACAGAAAGTCAGGGTCTAATAGGCACATTCACGGCTAAGTACGCAGCTGAGAAGAGAACTTCCGTGGCCTTGGGCAAACCTTTTTGTCAACAACACACTGAGTTACTTCACACCTGAAAGCTGTCTGCCCAATTGTTAATTTATAATATATCAGAGTCTGGCATATAATACCTTAGCTATGCCCAAAATAACAATGCCAACACAATTTCAGGAACAACTATAACAATGGAATTTTCCATTGTATTTATAATAATTTAATTTATTTCTCAGTATTTAAATACATTAGGTGTTTGGCTAGAGACAAGCGTTGCAACAGTTTCCCTGCGTGTTAGCTTCCGATAATGAATTATAGACTTCGCTAATAATGTGGCTAGGCGTAGGAATTTTGAAACTACATAGAACTAAGCGCAACCAAAGCAAGGCATTCATTTCAGCTGTGCCCCGAACAACAATACTTACATTATCCCAGCAACAATAGCTCCGCTGTTAATCAACCAAATTTACTTACCAGCCAGTGCTCCTAACAGAATGCAAAGCTTCCTTCTCAGTATATAATTACTATCAGTTTTTAGCAAACCAGCTCGGCACAAGCTGACACATTATTGAAAATTAATGCATGTTTCTAACCGATAATAAGCTATAGACTTGCCTCATTTTTTGGCACGGCTTAGTAATTTTGTAGTTTATCTTAGCAAATGCAATCCAAGACAATTGCTTCAGCTCGGCACAGATTTAAAATGCCAACAATATCCAAGTAACAAGAGCAACAGCTCGGCTGTTAATCAATTGCCGCCTGCTGCTCTGCTTTTGCACAGCTGCCACAAAAGCAGTTCGAACAAATTTTGATAATTGTTAACTATTATTATTTATTAACAATGTACCCCAACATTTCTGCCACACAGCACCTCTGTTGTTATTCTTGTTATCCCTGGAGCTTCATGCAGAGAGCCGAAGACAATAGAATTTCATAGGCAACCGAGACGCTCGCCTGTCTAGTGACTAGATTTCCTCCAGCCTGGCATCCCATGGATAACATTTAAGCAGCGGGTGGGCGTGTGTAAGTGTGTGTGTGTCTCTTCATGTTCCTATGCAAAAAGCAAGCGGCTAACACATACATTCATGCTCACTCAAACACACTCATGCACGTGCCGGTTCAAATTGTATAGAATTGTTGCTGTTGCTTTTGTAATTGTTATTCTTCTTGCGGCATTGTTGCAGCTTAATTGAAAATATTGTAACTACAACGTTACGTTTGTAAGTGTATGTGGGTGTGTGTTTCTGTAGGTATGTGTGTGTGTGTTTAGTAATCGCTTGCAGCATTTCGTTGCGCCGCACTACAAATGAAATTAATTGAATCCCGCGGGCTGTGCACAAACTCCCCAGAAACTTCCCCATACACACACGCACACGCACACACACACATACGACTACACACACATTGTTCCTTAATGCTGAACAAAGTTACTTAAGCATGCGAATATCTAACTTTTCACGCCTAATAACTGCCGGCTATTGACGTA